CATCCAGCCTCTGCTACAAAGCTTCCAAAGAAGGAGCCTCCATCACACTTTGAGGCAGAGAGTTCTGAACAGATCTCACAGTCAAGAAGTCCTTCCTCACGTTCAGGTGGAATCTCATAGAATCCTAGAATCCTAGAATCCTAGAGTTGGAAGAGACCTCCTGGGTCATCATCCAGTCCAACCCCATTCTGCCAAGAAGCAGGAATATTGCATTCAAATCACCCCTGACAGATGGCCATCCAGCCTCTGTTTCAAAGCCTACAAAGAAGGAGCCTCCACCACACTCACTCCGGGGCAGAGAGTTCCACTGCTGAACGGCTCTCACAGTCAGGAAGTTCTTCCTCGTGTTCAGGTGGAATCTCCTCTCTTGCAGTTTGAAGCCATTGCTCCATTGCGTCCTAGTCTCCAGGGAAGCAGAAAACATCTCCTTCCTTTCCTGTAGTTTGAAGCCATAGCTGCATTGTGTCCTAGTCTCCAGGGCAGCAGAAAGGAAACTTGCTCCCTCCTCCTTAGGACACATTCCCAACTTGATCCCTGGCCCTCACCCTGCCTCCTCTCGGCCTTCTCGCCTTCAATCTCAACATGCCCAGCAGCTCTTTCAGCCACTCTGTCCTCATGAGCCTTGTTCTCCAGACCCCAGGGAGGAAACAAACAAGAACATCTAATCACCTCTCAACAAAAGATTGCCCCAGGCACTGCCAGGCCATCAAATGTGTGTGCTTTTGGTTTTCAGTGTGTTGCTTTGATTGGAAGCGGTTTCGGTCTCCTTTTAAGAGAGAGAAAGCGGGAGGGTGACTACAATGACCAAGGGTCGGGAGAACAATCCCTAAAATTACAACAGCACAACAACAGAGAGGAAACAAACAAGGACATCTAATCACCTCTCAACAAAAGATTGCCCCAGGCACTGCCAGGCCATCAAATGCTAATCAAGGTGGTCAGTTGAAACATTCACACCTAGCTCCAGCAGACAAGAGTCCTTTGTCCCACCCTGGACATCATTCCACAGATATATAAACCCATTTTCCTAGTTCCAACAGACCTCACTACCTCTGAAGATGCTTGCCATAGATGCAGGCGAAACGTCAGGAGAAAATGCCTCTAGAACATGGCCATATAGCCCGGAAAAAACCTACAACAACCCAGTGATTCCGGCCATGAAAGTCTTCGACAATACCCCCCAGGATCCTTTGAGTGGCCCTCTTCCTCTGGGCACAGCATTCCAGCTGAGAGGCAACCCCTCCCTTCAATGGCGATGCCCAGAAGTGGGCACAGTGTGACTCCAGGAAGCGTGGTCTGACCAAGGCAGAAGAGAAGAGAGCAAGGGGAGCAGGACTTCCCTGGATATCTAGGCACTAGGCTCCTCTGGGTGCAGGCCAACATCCCATGGGCTTTTTAAGCTGCCGCATCACATTCCTGACTCATGTTTACTAATACTTTCCTCCCCACGAGGACTCCAAGACCTTTCCCCACATCCTGCTGTGGAGCCAGGCACCATTATCCCCCTTTCTGTCTCTTGGCATTTCCTTTTTTCCTCCTAACTTGCATTTGTCCCTCTCGAGGTTTCTTTTCTTAATTTTGACTAACCATCTCTCTCATCTGTGAAGACCGTCCTGAATTCTGCTCCTGCCTTCTGGGGTACTGGCTCTCCCTCCCCATTTGGTCCTGTCTGCAGACTTGATGATCTAGAGCAGTGCTTCTCAACCTGGGGTCCCCAGATGTTTTGGCCTTCAACTCCCAGAAGTCCTAACAGCTGGTAAACTGGCGGGGATTTCTGGGAGTTGCAGGCCAAATCACCTGGGGACCCCAGGTTGAGAACCACTGATCTAGTGGACCTAGGTCTGGAACAGAGGCCAGAGGGGTATCTGCGGGGAGGGCTTGCATGGTGCGTTCATGCCTGATTGGATGGTTTTTGGGGGTTCTTCTCAAGCCACAGTGAAATATGTGCAATGCACAAACACATATCCATGTAGAAGAGGAGCATGCCCATTCATCGGCATCAGCATCACACCATCACAACAATGATTGATGTCCCACTTTGATCTTGAATGAGGCTGGCATCCCCTTTTGGGAGGGCAGCAGGGGGGGAACCCTGGAGGGACCCCCCCCTACACACACACACACACACACACACACACACCTCCCCCTTTGCCAACCCCTGATCTGACTCTAGACTCAGGCACAGGTCACCATTCAGCTCCCCAGCACGCTCTACCCGCCTCTGATTTTTTTTCCTACAGAGCAAATGCGCTCTCTCTCTCTCTCTCTCTCTCTCTCTCTCTCTCTCTCTAAAATGTCTGCAAGACACGTATGAAATGTGCATTGGAGTTAAAATATGGCAGGCAGGTTGCCGTGGGAGACGGAGGCAGCGCTCCAGAATACAACTCTGCAGATTTCTTTCCTCAAAATTGCAGATTTATGCAGAAGCCAGGCGGGAGGGAGGGGGGCCTGCAAAACCCACAAGGAAACAGACCACCCCCCCCCCCCCCCCCCTCTCCACCGGCATCCACTGACCAGAGCCTTGGGCAGTGGGCTTCTCCCCCTGCTGGCCCCCTCCCAAAGGAGAAAGCTCTGGCACCAGCCACAGTCCTTTGGACACAGGTGGCCACTCAAAAGCTGACCAGTTCCTCAAGGGGACAGACAGGGACCCATTGCCAAAAGGGGCTCAACGTGGTGGAGGAGAAGGCACATGAGGAAGGGAGCCACTCACCAAGGGAACCAGCTGAGAAAGAGCTGTTCTGAGAAAGAGTCAGAAGGGGTTTTCTGTCTCCAATGCTGTAATTGGCTCCTTTTCGGGAATAGGTTCTGCGTGGGGGGGGGGGGTGCATCCAATGGGAACAAGGGGAAGGGTCACATGGGCTGCAGCGGCTGCCCTTTGCAAGAGGTATTAGGCATTCCCCCCTGAATTTCCGGGGTGCAGTCTCTGAAGTGGCCACTTGGGGGAGCATTCCCTGCATTTTCCAAAGCGTAATGAGTAACTCAACTCGTTCTCTCTCTGAGCTGCTGCAGTCGAAACGAGCCTCGCAGCCTGGCCTCCGTGTCTACAGGAAGGATACATTCCTAGGCTCGCTTTGGAAACAGGAATCTGTACAAAATAACTTCTGACAGAAGAATACTGTAGCACCACTGGAGAAATTACACTGTCTAGCCGGTATTGCACCACCTGACATCCACCGGGAAGTAGCAGCCAATAGTGAAAGGACCAAGGCAGAGACATCTCCAGCTCATCCCCTGTTTGGGTATCAGCCAGCACGTCAACGACTTAAATCTAGAAATAGTTTTCTTAAATCTACAGAGACACTCGCTGGAACACCTCAGCAAGCGAGAGTCCAAAAGCGGCAGGCTCAAACCCAGAACCCCAATCAATGGCTGATACCAAATGAGAGACTCCCCCCTGGGCACACAGAAGACTGGGCGACTTGGAAGGTGCTGAACAGACTGCGCTCTGGCACCACGAGATGCAGAGCCAACCTCAAGAAATGGGGCCACAAAGTGGAATAATCCACGACATGCGAGTGTGGAGAAGAGCCAACCACTGACCACCTGCTGCAATGCAACCTGAGCCCTGCCACATGCACAATGAATGGAGGACCTCCTTGTGGCAACACCAGAGGCACTCCAAGGAGCCAGATACTGGTCAAAGGGCATTTACTCAACTACCAAGCTTGCAAACTCTGTGCTTTGTATGTTTGTTTGCTTGTTTGTTAAAAAATGCAATACAACAGTTTGGTTTGCTCCTGACACGATAAATAAAATAAAATACTGTAACAAAATGCCCAATTAAAGTATAAGTTTTAGTTAGGTTTAGTTAGGTTTATTAATATTAGCTGAGAGGTGGACAGAAGCCCCAGGCGTTGCCACAGCATCCTAGCCACCAGGCAGGACCTCACTATCTCTGAGGATGCTTGCCATAGATGCAGGTGAAACGTCAGGAGAGAATGCCTCTAGAACATGGCCACATAGCCCGAAAAAACCTACAACAACCCAAAAGAATTTTGGTTTAAATAAGATGTCAGGAGTAGTTAGGAGTTGGAAAAAACCCAACTGAAGATCCTGTGATAATTAGGTAGGCTGCTGGGAGCAGTCCAGGAAAGTTATTCAGTGAGTTAAGGCTTGAAAGGAAAAAGCGGAGGAACAGCTGGGACCTTGGCTAAAAGGATAAGTTACATACAGTCCAAAAAACCTGTTCTTAGGTATCCACACAACGGTCTGTTATGAAGAGGGAATAGTTTGAGAGAAAGCCATAGTGAAACATTGTTCTACAAGCAATTGATCTTATGTAACCACTAAGCTTATACAACAATACAAATAAAACAAAGGTACTGTTTCACCTACAAGCAAAGCCTCTCCCTCCCAATCAATAGTGATTTTATGCTGACGACTTGGCCTTATATAATTATATGATTGTATTTTAATGTGTTTTATACTAGTGTATTATTGGATGTGATGTTTTAAACTATTGTGTATGAATTCCTCTGTTGTAAACCGGCCTGAGTCCCTCGTTGGAGGTGAGAAGATCGGTATATAAAAGTTTTAAATGAATCAATAATAAATCTCTGTGCTATTGGGTTTCAAATGGTGGCAGCAGCAAGTGGTAGGAAGATGGAATAAAGGTCCCTCCTTCCTGCCTGAAGGTTTTGGTTGAAGTTTTTCTGATCCCCCTGCCATCTTCCGTGCAATTGGTGGCAGCGGCGGGATGACAAAATAAAAGGTCCACCCTGCCCGAAGTATTGTTTTGTTTTGTCTGCCATTTTGTCACACATACCATAGAGTTGTGCTGGAGGGTGTAAAAATGCCTATAGGGGTCATCTCTCTAGAATTTCTAGACCACCTTGCAGCAGGTGTAGGTAGGTAAGGGAGATTGCAGGTACTGATCGTACTGTGATCAGGCCGAAGTAGCGAGTTCTACTGCAGGAGGTCTGAGGCTGTCCTGGGGCCTTGGCCACTGGCTCCCCCTCCCTAAAGAGAAGGGGCGGGTCTCCCGGGATACTGCCACTCACTTGGAGAAGTTGGCCAGGTTCTGGATGACCTTGGCGATGAGGGTGAGGGTGCGGGAGGTCTCCTCGTCGGGGTACTCCTGCATGAGGCCAAAGAGGCTGGGGGACATGATGGCCGGGCACAGGAAGCGCAGGAAGAGGGAGGCGCTGATCAGGCGGTCCGCAATGTCCTCTCGGCCCCGCTCCGCGCAGCGCAGGCGCCACGAGGCAAAGACCTCCTTCAGCTCCCGCGGAAACACGCTGCGGAAGCACGGAAGGGAGGGTGAATGGGCAGCAGTGGCACAATGCCCACCTCCGACCCCCTTGCCCCCTTCAGTCCCACGGACCCCCAGCCCCCACTGCCACCCCTCTTTCCTGGTCCATCCACCCCAACATCAGAAGCAGAGCCCTCTTACTTCACCCAGAAACAGTTAAGCAAAGATGGGGCAAAGAGGAGGAACCCTCCCACTCGCTCTCTTTCCCTCCCCTCTCTTCCCTTCCCTCATTCTCCCCTCCCTCCCCACATCTGCCCACTCATCCATCCATTCTTCTTTTCCTTCCTCTCTTCGTCCTTCCTTCCATCGTCCCTTCCCTTCATTCCTCTCTCGTCTTTCCTCTACTTTCTGTCCCTCCCTCCCTCCCACTGTTTTCCTTCCTCCACCTGCTCTTTCCCCCACTCCCTCCATCTCCCCCACTCCCTTCCTCTTTCCTTCTTTCCCTGCTCTCTCCTTCAGTCCTTCCTTCACTTCATCCTTCCTGCCTCCCCTCCCTCTATTCATGCTCCCTCCATGCCTTTTTCCTTCTCCTTCCCTTTGTCTCCCCTCCTTTCTTCCCCTTTCTCATCCTACTTCTGTCTCCTTCCTTCCTTCCTTGTTCCCCTCACTTCCCTGCTTCCCTCCTCTCTTCCTTCCTTATCTTGGTGTCACCTTAAATTGAACACTAACATAGAATCATGGAATCCTAGAGTTGGGAGAGGCCTCGTGGGCCATCCAGTCCAACCCCATTCTGCCAAGAAGCAGGCAAATTGCATTCAAAGCACACCCAACAGATGGCCATCCAGCCTCTGCTTAAAAGCCTCCAAAGAAGGAGCCTCCACCACACTCTGGAGCAGAGAGTTCCACTGCTGAACAGCTCTCACAGTCAGGAAGTTCTTTCTAATGTTCAGATGGAATCTCCTTTCTTTCCTGTAGTTTGAAGCCATGGCTCCATTGCGTCCTAGTCTCAAGAGCAGCAGAAAGGAAGCTCGCTGCCTCCCTGATTCACTCTTTTTCCTCTCCTCGTGCTCTCTCTCCCCATCCTTCCCACTCCTTGTCTCTCCCCCCTCCTGCCCCTCCCCCCCCAGCTCTCTCGCTTTTATTCATCTTTCTCTCCCTTCCTCCCTCCCTCCTTCCCTGTTTCCTTCCTTTTCCTTCACTCCCCGTCCCTTCCCTCTTCCCTCCACCCCTTCCCTTTCCCTCCCTCCTTCCCTCTATCCCGGCACTGACCAGTGGGAGTTGACGACTTTGCAGAGGGCCAGTTCGCAGCACATGCGGAGGTTGGCCTGGTGGTCGGCCAGGGTGGACGTCGAGCACTTCATGGGGTCCACCTCGCAATTCTCTTCTGACTCGTACAAAGCGCGGATGAACTCGCCTGCAGGGAGGGAGGGGAGGGGGCAGAATGAGGGGAGAAGGGGGTCTCATGGAAGGGTAGGCCCTGCTTGGCTTCTCCCCCAGCCTCTGGAGGCACTTTGGGCCCGGATGCCGCTGCCGGCATGAGCTCCCTGGGAGACAATCGGCCTCAAGTCCCCAGCTCCTTCTTGACCAATGGGAGCTAGCCTCGTCCTCCCCAAACCACCCTGAACCCCCTCCCCCTCTTTTTCCTCTTCCCCTTCCTCTGGAGACCCTCACCATGGAGGTGCCACCCCGGTGTCCCTCTTTCCCAGATGGACTGAAGTCAAGCAAGCCAAGTGGAGACAGCTGCTAAGGGTGCGGGCAGAGGGGTGCCTCCACGTGACCCCTTTCCCCCTTGCACACACCCCCCCTCGTCCCTCCCCAGCCAGACCCTCACCAATGGCGTCCTTGAGGTATTTTTGTCCAATCAGTTTGAGATACTCCTCTATGGCTTTGGTGGCCAGCGTGTTCTCCCGGAAGATCAGGTGCTCCCGGTCCATGAAGCGGTCCACTTCCGTCATGGCCATGTCGGAAAGGAAGTCCTGCCGGGTGCCGGGAAGGGAGAGAGGGACGTTGCTGTGGCTGGGGGCCAAGGGACACCCCACCCCACCCCACCCCTGACCCCCATGATGATGGTGATGGCGGCTAGGGTACCTTGGCCTTGCCGGTGCTCTGGAGGATGTGCACGAGGGCGCAGGCCACCTCCTCTTTGCTCTTGACGCTGAGGACCGGCTCCAGGACGGCGCAGAGCATGCGGTAGTTGTTGGTGACGTACTCCGCAAACTCCTTGTAGAGCTCCATGGGGAGAATGCTCATGGTCTGGAAGCGGCTCTTGACCCGGACGGCCGGGCAGCCGGACTTGCTCTTGCTGGCGCTGGGCTGGCTGAGCGGGTACCACTGCTCGGCAAAGTGGCGCCCGGTCACGCTGGCGATGGGGATGCTGACCATGCCCACGTAGTTGCTGCGGTCCTTCTTGCGCTTCTTGTCCGTGTCCTTGTAGAGGTGGATCCGGATGGTCCGCACCGCCGGCAGGTTGTTGAACTCGAAGTGCTCCCCCCAGAAGACGTTGTCCGTGCGCACCTTGCTGGTGGTGCGGGCGTAGAGCATGTCGTCCAGGCACAGCTCGCAGTAGTAGCGCTTCTTGGGGGGCAGGTCCCGCGCCTCGATGATCCACAGCTTCAGCACATTGTCCACACGACGGCTGTTGTCCTGCGCAGAGAGAGAGAGAGGGTGGGGGGGTTAGGAGGCCGCTGCAAGGAGCTCTAAGAAAGGAGCCTAGCATCACAAACCACTTTTGCTAATACTCCAGAGGACAGGATCAGAATCCAGAAGGACCTTCACAGACTAGGATCCCCCCAGGCAGGAAGCAGCCAAGCCTTGAAGATGCAACGTTATTGAATGCTAATCGAGGTGATCCACTGAAGCATTCCACTTGCCTCCAAGAGACCAGAGTTCTTTCTCCCACCCTGGACGTTATTCCACAGGGATATGTATAACCCTCGACCCCTGTGCTAGTACGGCTGTACCAGGAGCTCCAACTTTATTTCTTTCTGTTAAAGTTTGCAGTTATAGGGCAGGCCTCCTGTCCATCTTAATTAAGCTTTAGTTCCGCCCCTTGTTCAGGCTTCTGGGAGGGAAGGGAGCCATTTTGGCAGTCTCACACAAGGTAGCTAAGCTATAGGACGTAGACCAGCTCGTCTGTAGAAAAGCTTCCTTTCCTAAGAGCATCCAGGGAAAAGGAACATCCGGGGATACAGAAACAGAAATTCCAGGGGAAAGGTCCCAAAAGGCTCTGGCTGAGAGCTCACAGCCTCTCAGCCTCACAACATCAGAGGGAAACAGCCCTGAAGTTCTCAAAGAATTCTCGGAGGAAGGACAGCATTACAGATCCACTGAACCCCAGCTGAAATATCTTCAAGCCTCGGCTGGTAGATCTACTCGATACCCAGACACACTTGGAGTCGGTAGTAGGTCCCACACCGATGAGGCATAGATAGAAAGCAGCCTGGGAGAGGTTAAAAAGGGTTTTTCCTACAGAGAAGGTTCAGTTGATCAAAGTCAGGTACCAGTCCATTGAAGACTAGACTAAGAAAGCCTTAAAGTGTTGTTTGAACCATTGAAGATTTGTTGTTTGTTCCATAATAAAGACTTTGTTGTATCATTAAAGACTCTAAAGACCATCACTTCAGAAAAATCCCTGAGAACCTCTCTTTGATGCGCCCCTGGCTTCCCGCTGGGCTTAAGGTATACGTCCTATAGAAAAGACAGCTGTTACAGGCCCAGCGCGCGACAGAACACCCCCCCCCCCTTGCCTTGTTTCCAAGAGAGCCCTCAACGTCAGGAGAGAATGCTTCTGGGATATGGCCAGGCAGCCCGGAAAACTGACAGCAACCCAGTGAACAGAATGGATTTCAACAGGGAGAAATGTGTGGCATGATACTATGGCAATACAAATGAAATGCTAGAGGGACTTGAAATATTCCTCCAAGAAAACCAAGATGCAGCTTGCAACTCCCAGGCTTTTCCGATTGGATGTATTCTGCAAGGAGGAGGCGTCCTTTGGAGGGTAAACCTTGTCCAGGGCGTCCTGGGCCTGCGTGAGCCGAACATTTCCAAACTGGACAAAGGAAGTCTTGCTAAGAAGAAGAGTAAAGCAAGGCTTAGCCAGGAGAGCTTTTGCACAATTAAAACTTGTGCGCCAGCTGCGCCCATTCCTTGAGACGTCTGACTTGTCCACAGTGGTCCATGCTCTTGTTACATCCTGAATAGACTACTGCAATGCACTCTACGTGGGGCTGCCTTTGAAGACTGGCCGGAAGCTTCAACTAGTCCAACAATCGGCAGCCAGGTTGCTCACCAGAGCGACGTACAGGGAACATACAACTTCTTTGTTGCGCCAACTCCACTGGCTACCAATCAGCTTCTGAGTACAATTCAAAGTGCTGGTTGGATGGCATCCTTGAAGGGACTGGATTAACCTTGAAGGAGCTGGGGGTGGTGATGGCCGACAGGGAGCTCTGGCCTGGGCTGCTCCATGGGGGCCCGAAGAGTCCGAAACGACTGAACGAATGAACAACAACAACAACAACAACAACAATATATACACGGGGTGTGTGAGTGGGAAACTTTAGAACTGTCTTCTTCGGATTTTGGAAAGACGGAATAAACGACTTGTTTCCAGTGATTTATTGTTGTGAGCTTGCCTCTAATTCCATGAACTTCCAGACAGAATCTGACAATGAGGGCATCAAAACTGCACCAAAACACCATCAGTTCCCACCTCAAACACCGAGGAGTCTGTGATGGCATTTCTCAAACTGCAACAAAGAACTAGACAAGTGTCACGTCCAAGAAAAACCAAGTCCGAGGCAGGCAGGCCCAGAAAAGAGGAGGCAAGCCCAGCTCCCAGCTGAGACCCGTCCATCCCAACATCGTCCACAAAGGCTGACCTCTCACAACCTCCCGGTCAGAGGCCATGGCTGACGGAAAGGCAGGCCCTCCACTGGAAAACTCTCCTTCTCCAAGACATGGCAAGGGCGAGGGCGCCTGGGCACCTCCACGGCCAACTCCGACCCCACATCGGATCTGAGGGCAGCAAGGCCATCAGCGTGAGAGGCGCCTGCCTTCCCTTGCCAAATCCCCTCCCCGCTCTGCATCCGCTGGGCAGGACAGTCTCCGCCAACATCTCTGGAAGAGATGTGACACTGACATCAGATGTCGGGATTCAAGGCGCAACTGAAGGCCAATCTCTTCTGGCAAGCCGTCCCAGTCAATTGTAGTTTGTGAATTTTAACCTGCATTTTGTTATTATACTATGATATGGAAACGCAGTTGGGCATAACAAAGAGAAATGCAAAAACATCCAGAGCCGTGCACTTCTTGGCCTGAGAGCTGAAGTGAAGGGAAAATAAACCCTATGGATTCATATGATTTTCACCAATCTTTGTGGACTTTTGATGAACTTTGGTTGGAGGGAAGGCCGACATGGTTCCCCCTTAGAATCATAGAATCAAAGAGTTGGAAGAGACCTCTTGGGCCATCCAGTCCAACCCCATTCTGCCAAGAAGCAGGGATATTGCATTCAAATCACCCCTGACAGATGGCCATCCAGCCTCTGCTTAAAAGCTTCCAAAGAAGGAGCCTCCACCACACTCCAAGGCAGAGAGTTCCACTGCTGAACGGCTCTCACAGTCAGGAAGTTCTTCCTCCTGTTCAGATGGAATCTCCTCTCTTGTAGTTTGAAGCCATTGTTCCATTGCATCCTAGTCTCCAAGGAAGCAGAAAACAAGCTTGCTCCCTCCTCCTCCCTGTGGCTTCCTCTCACATATTTATACATGGCTATCATATCTCCTCTCAGCCTTTTCACCAATCTTTGTGTACTTTTGATGAACTTTGGAGGGAGGGAAGGCTGACACAGTTCCCCCTTGACTTTGCATGATTTATCCCTTAGGAATTCCTTGTATGTTCCCCTTCCTCATACCATCACATGTTTGAAAAACGAAGGAAAAGCCACCTTCTTCATGAATCCAGCACCTCGTGGCTCCAGGAAGCGTTTCCCAATTTACCAAGCCAGTAAATCCCTAGACAAAGGACTCAACCAGAAACTCATTGCATGAACACTAAGTAAATGGTTCTTATTTGACCAGATCTCAGAGGGCAAAGGCTAGACCATCTGAAAAGATAAGACCTATGGGCATTTGAATCACTCAACACAAAGGGTGTTTTCCTCTCTACGAGGAATTAGGATTTCACCACAGCCTTTTTCATTGTGTCAACGCCAACCGGCCAGAAACCAACATTAATTTCTTCAAAGGACTCCATATCTCAGAACTGTAAAAACAAAGGACGAAGCCTCTCGGGGCTAGACCAAGACATTAATCCAAAGAACCAAACAATAACCTTGGCTAGGCTTGAGAGCCTAAAGGTTATCGCCCAGCCATTTGGCAAACATTGGTCACCTAAATCCTGGTTGCCCCTGACACGATAGATAATTTATTTATTTATTTATTTATTTATTTCGGTTTCTTCTACCCCGCCCTTCTCACCCCGAAGGGGACTCAGGGCGGCTTACAAAGGCTTACAATTCGATGCCAGCATCACATAACAGTAGTAAAACAAAATAACATCAATTAAACAGTTGAACAGTTAAACAACAATTCCTGCATTACATATCTTAAATCCTGACAACTAGACATTTCTTCATTGTTTCCCTGTTGCCCGCCTCCCTTCCCCCTCATTGGCTGAGCGGCCAAAGCAGGGCTCAAGCCACCATTGGCTCTCCTGCTGGTTTGCTGACGTCACAACCAATCATAACAAAGCTAGCTCGGGGTGGGGGTGGGTGGGGTGGTGGGCATGGGAACTTTTGAATCTTTTGAAAAGGCTATATATATTGTATCTCTCTGCCCAATGGGCATGTCGATTTTGTTGGCAGATTACTGCAATCGTCATCCTTTCCAGCTGGAATGAAATAAAAATCTCGGTGGGTTTCTCTTCAACTTGGTGAGATTTATTCTATAATATTGGCTTCTCTTTCTCATCAGGCAACCCACAATGGCTTGGTCTATCCACAACCATCCTAAACTGCTCGGCAACAAAACTTTGAGGTGAGATGAGATTGGAAAGGGCACAAATAGAGGAGTAAATACTATTTACTCAAGACTAATGCACATCTTTTCTTGCTCACTCACATCTCCAAAATTAGGGCGCATTAAATTTGAGTTTGTATAAGGTGAGGCCCGCTCCTTAAAGGGGCATTGCCTGATGCAGCCTTGCCTGCACCATTGGGCTTGTCCTCTATCGAAGGTGTTACCCTTTTAAGGCATTGTTGTTGCTATTTCAACAAAGTTGGTACCAGGCAAGAAAAAGCCACGCTCCTCCACCAGTCCTCTCCCTCCAGTCCCTCTATACAAGCCTAATCCTGGTAATATTTGCTACCACATTACATTCGTCAACAAATACCTCCGTTTGGGTTGTTGTAGATTTTTCAGGTTGTATGGCCATGTTCCAGAAGCATTCTCTCCTGATGTTTCGCATGCATCTATGAGGACCTCACAGCCTCTGAGGATGCCTGCCATAGGAGAGAATGCTTCTGGAACATGGCCAGATAGCCTGAAAAATCTACAACAATCCAGTGATTCTGGCCATGAAAGCCTTTGCCAATCCTTCCACTTGGTTTCACATTCAAGACTCCAGTAAATACAGTACTCATG